AGGACCTGGGCCAGGAGGGACACAGTACTGGACTTACTGAGAATTTCTGTACACCCTCATGGTGCACCTCTGCATTCTTGGGAATATTTGTGGAGGCCACCTCAGAAGGAGCACATCTTCCCTACGCAGCTGCATTCTGCCCAACTCCCTATTCATCTCACCTGATTCTGTGCCAACTGTGGTCCTCACACCACCCCCCACGGCCAGTAACAACTGCCCATTAGATCCTGGACTTCAGGGCACATGAATGCTGGGCAGGTCCCAGGGAACAGGTTTCCTCCATCACTGCTGGGGAAAATGAAACATATGCTGGAAAGAAGGGGCCCAATTCATGCTGCTCCCACCTGCACTGGATGTTATCACAGCAACTCCCCCTCTCCAGAGTGACCTCTGGTTCCTCACATAATGGAGGCATGTGGAGTTTACACTCGCAAAACCTGTCAGTTTTCCCAAGAGGCCTTGGGCAGCAAGGTGAATTAGGCCCCAACTGGACTGAGAAGTTGCTCTCTGCCATCCTGCCGCACCCCGAGGCACACACAGTTAACAGCCCCAAATATGACTGCAGCATTCGCTAACAGTGGAGTTCTCTTCTATGTGTGTTATGGTTATTAATGTATTTTAACCCACACAGGAACTCTCTGAGGGAGTACTCATACTACTATCCCTAATGTAGAGATGAGAAAACCGAGGCCAGAGGAGTTCAGGGATGGGCCCCATGACCCACTGCTAGTAAGTGTCAGCACCAGGAAGGAGTCGCACACTGGCTCTGGGTCCAGGTGCTACATCACGCGCTGCCACAGGATGCTTACCCCTAACAGTAAGTCCAGAACCAACACTTGTAGGGTGTTCCCATGACCCAGCGACTTTTTCAGGCATTTCACTTGCATTGTAAGTTTCTGAAATTCATTAAACTTATGGACTAATTTGTAGAAGTGACATGTGTAAAATGTTGAGTTCCCTCATTCAGGAGCATGTTATGTGTCTTCATTGATGCTCTGTAAAGAATGAGATGGCTGTTCCTGTAGGCCCTGAACTAAAAGATTCTATTTGGGGTTTCCGACGCAGCCTCCTCATGTAGCAGGTGCAGGAAAGGCCCCACTTTTTAGATGAAGAAACTGAGGCTCAGGGGGGTTAACTGCTTTGTGAAGGACATGGAACTGATATGCAGCTGATCCAAATCAGAGACCCAGGTTGGCCATCTCTATCATCTTGCTGTTGAACCACAAACCTACACAACCCTGTTCCAGAAGATGCCAAGTCCAGGCAGGTCCATCATGATGATGGGAATAATGATGAGGAGGATGATCACAATGAGGATGAGGGTGTTGACAACAACAGTGATGGCAGCAGGGTTCACATCTCCATCCTGCACAGTCAGGGAAGAACAGACTCTATTTTGTGTCCTTTTCATACATGAACCTGTTCACACTCACACAACGCTGTGACATAGATACCATGTTACACCATTTTGCCAAGGTGGAACCTAAGGCACAGAGGGGTTCAGAAACTTGCCTGGGGCCACACAGCCTGTGAGTGCACAGCTGGGATTCTCACCAGGCAATCTAGCTCCAGGGCCAAGGCTTACGAGTGTGACACTGTGGAGGAAACAGCTCACAGCCACCATGTGGGGCCAGCATTCATAAAGGTGGGCCATGAGGGGAAGGGGAGGTGTCTGTAGTATTTAGTCCTCGGGGAAGGTGAATCTATGTGAGGAGATGACTTAATGATTCCCAGATTTGGACAGTTCATGAACCCCTAAAAAAACTAAAACTAGAAAACTCACTCAGACATTTGGCCCATTAAGGACAATTTATGGACAACGACTATCATCTACTCTCACTCATACTTCATAAATGATAGGACTTTTACAAATAAAGAAAGCAGAAGCCAGCACCTCATCACAAAGGCGGATCTTCTGCATTAAATAAGGTTTCTGAGGGACTCACAACAGTGGCCTAATTGTCCTTACTGTGCCGAGGACGGGGATTTCATTAGAATTAAATGAGTAGAGACAAACACTGTCTGCAACAAGATTGACACCTGCTCTGTGCTCAAGGACCTTAGCTGTGACCATTCTTACTAATTTATTCTCGTTAAACTAAAACACATTCCATGTGTCTTAGAGTGTACGCTAAACAGCACACTTGTCTCTCTGCTAATTAGGAAAACCACTTTGACTTGCCATAAATGGAAGCTGACCATGAAAATACAACCATAGAGTCAAGATATACTGCTCTGAATCCTAGGGAGCTCACAGGGCCTGCTCAGGGCTGCTCTCTCTATTGAAAAGGGAAATTCATAACAGTTAGGGGGACATTACAGATGCAGAACAACTCCAAGACTCTCTCCTGACAACACTCAGAAGGAAACAGAAAGGAAGGAACAGCTTTCTCAGGGGGTCCGTGCATGCCACCTGACGCCGTTCGTGTGTGCCCTCTAAAATCATCTCCTGGACCAGCGCAGGAGCATGGCCCAGGCCTTAGGAAACAAGGGACAATGGTGCAGCCCTCAAGGGCATTTTTAGAGATTGTGTTGTTAGGAAGATACATGGGAGCACCCACAGCAAACGTCTTCCCAGGGGTGCTGCCTGACTCACCCCCTATTTTGAGAACAGCTCCTCACCCACGATCCTGGTACTGGGCTGTGGGGACACCTGGCCCAACCAGGCTGGGTCAGTCAGCTTCCCTTCTGTGGAATCTAGGATAAAGAGCTCAGAATGAGGCCCAAATTGCAGGCATTGGGTTGAGGGTTAGTGTGTAGAAAGATGATGTTTCTACCTAGAGAGACCTGATTCAGACATAAGAGACTGGAAAAAAGGACATAGGTCTATAACAGGGTCAGACATAGGAGGAAAGGGGAGCTCCATTGCTCTTCTAGACCAGCGAGGCCTGGATTGAGGGCAGAATCAAGGAGGCTGTGGATCCCCTGCATGGAGAGGGGAGCCCTTACCCAGTGAGACCAGGAGCCCACATTTCTCCAGCATCACCTGCAAATACACGTCTGAGCTCTGTGCTGGGCTCAAAGGGGAGGAGGACTCAGCCTCTGGACGGAACATAATTGTGGCTGAGAGAAAAGCCTCCCATGGGTGAAGCCACTGGAGAGAACACCATCAGTGGTGTTCCCTTGAGAACTAGGGGGCAAACGGTAAGTGCTCTGGGACATCAAAACAAGGGAAAATAACCATGGTAACATTCCAACAATGAACACAGCAGCAGCAGCAGTAGCTGAGCCTCCCTAGTGCTCGCCGTGTGTCTGCCCTGGGCTGAGAGCTTCACATGCTGAGGTAAAGGGATTAAACGACCCAGTTCTGGAGCTAGACTCGGTGGTATGAATCCAGCCTCTCGAATCTTGACACTTGTCCATTGTGTGAACTTGGAAAACCCACCTCATTTCTCTGATCCTGGATATCCCCAGTAACGTGATAGTTTCCCCCTCCCCAGGTTATTGTGAGAATTAAAGAGAAAATGCTTAAAAAAACTCGGCGTGTTCTGTTACTTTTATAGATCCTAACAGAGGCCAAGGTAAATGCTATCACCTGCACATCACAGTCAGGGAACTGAGCCTCCAGCAGCTCTAATGAGTCACTCAGAGATTCCCCAGTGGGGAACCCACACTGAGACCTCAGTACCCTGTAGGTCCCTCCTGTCTGCAGGTACTAAGGGTTGCCTTGCTCCAGGATTGTCCCCGCATGCAGGCAGATGACAGGTGGAGCCACGGCACAGTGAATGGGCACCTCAGCTCTTCACCTCTTCCAACGAAGCAGGGGCAGGATCAGCTCTAACTCCCATTTTATAGAGGAAGAAACTGAGGCCTAGAGGAGGGTCACTGTGAGCTCCAGTGATGCATGGAGATCTAAGACGCAGACTCTGGCACCTTGGGGTGTCTAATCACTGTCCTGCTCTCCCTCCCTATGGGGCTTTGAACACCCAAATCCATCCTGATACCATCTGGTCCCACATCAGCTCCAACCAAGCAATGACAGATTAGGAAAATCAGCAAACACTACAAAGCAAGCCTTTATTGTATTACTGAACATCTGGACTTAAGAAAGAGAGAAGGTGGCTGGCCCCATGGCATAGTGGTGAAGTTTGGCATGCTCTGCTTCGGCTGCCTGGGTTCACGGTTCTGATCCCGGGTGCCGACCTGTACCACTCATGAGCCATGCTGTGGTGGCAACCCACATACAAAAGAGAGGAAGATTGGCACAGATGTTAGCTCAGGGTGAATCTTCCTCAGGAAAAAAAAAAAAAAACCCAGGTGGGGAATATGTTCACAATACAGATTACTATTAAAGGAGTATGGTATATGTGTCGATTACATTGTGCATAGCACAAAAAATTTTGAAAAAAAATTAGGACATATTCTTCCAGTATTGAAGACAATTATTCCATTAAAAAAAAGTCACTCGTATTCAAGACTGAGTCAAATTCCAATATACATCTTCGTTATTTCACTGTCCTATTCAGCAAAGAAAAGGTAAATAGCCAAAGTTCATGAAAGAACAGGCAAACGATATCAGCAGACATTTTACCAGAGACATACAGAGGGCAAATAAACAAGTGAAAAACTTCTCATCAGGAATCCTTAGGGAAATACAATTAAAACAACATGGAAATAGCATGACAAAGTTATTAAAAGGACTAAATTTAAAATGACTTATGACATTTGGTATAGCATGAGGACTTTCTAAATTGTGAATTCTCCTGCGTTGAATGAGATCCGAGTTTCAGGAAAGCATTTTCCACATTCACTCCACTCGTGAGGCTTGATGCAGTGTCAACTATTGACGTGGAAGGAACACAGTCCTTTAGCTAAAGAATTTTGCACATTTGCTTGACTCAAGAACTTGATCCAGTGTGAAGTCTCTCATGTTGACAGAGTGCAGAGCATCGGGTTAAAGATTTCCCACATTGTGTGCGCTCATAAGCCCTTTCTCCAGAGCGAACTCTCTGGTATTGAAGGGGTGTCAAGCTACAGGCAAAACATTTCCCACATTCACCCTACTCATAAGGCCTTGACCCAGTGTGGACTTTCTGGTGTTTACTAAGTTGGGAACTATCCCTAAATGATTTCCCACATTCACTGCACTCATAAGGCCTCTCTCCAGTGTGAACTCTCTGGTGTTTATTGCAATGTGAACTACTCATGAAAGATTTCCCACATTCACTGCACTTATAAGGCCTTTCTCCTGTGTGAATTCTCCGGTGTTGAGTAAGTGTTGAGCTATTGGTATATGATTTCCCACATTCACTACACTCAAAAGGCCTTTCTCCAGTGTGAACTCTCCAGTGCTTTTTGAGTTGGGAACAATCCCTAAATGATTTCCCACATTCAGTGCATTCATAATCCCTTTCTCCAGTGTGAACTCGCTGATGGTCATTGAAATGTGAACTATTCCTGAAGGATTTCCCACATTCACTGCACTTATAAGGCCTTTCTCCTGTGTGAATTCTCCAGTGTCGAATAAGCGTCGAGCTATTGGAATAAGATTTCCCACATTCACTACATCTATAAGGCTTTTCCCCAGTGTGAACTCTCCAGTGTTGAATGAGATGAGAATATCCTCTAAAGGATTTTCCACATTCACTGCACTCATAAGGCCTTTCTCCAGTGTGAACTCTCTGATGATGACGAAGGGTGCTCCTAATGGTGAAAGATTTCCCACATTCACTGCACTCGTATGGCCTCTCTCCTGTGTGAACTCTCTGGTGTACGACAAGACTGGATTTTTGGATAAAAGATTTCCCACATTCATTGCACTCATAAGGCCTCTCTCCTGTGCGAACTCTCGGATGATTACTGAGATTGGAACTAGATGGAAAAGATTTCCCAAGTTCATTGCACTCATAAGGCCTTTCTTCTCTGTGAACTTTCTCATGATGATAACGAAGGATCCCCCTAGTGGTGAAAGATTTCCCACATTCACTGCACTCATAAGGCCTATCTCCTGTGTGAACTCGCTGGTGTCTAACAAGATGACATCTTTGGATAAAGTATTTCCCACATTCATTGCACGCATAAGGCCTTTCTCCTGTGTGAACTCGCTGATGAATACTGAGGTTGGAACCAGATGAAAAAGATTTCCCACATTCACTGCACTGATAAGGCCTTTCTGCAGTGTGCAGTCTCTGATGATAACAGAGTTGAGATCTAGAGATAAAACATTCCCCACATTCACTACACTGATGGGGCCTTTCTCCAGTGTGAACTCTCTGATGATAACGGAGTTGGGAGCTAGAGATAAAACACTTCCTACCTTCACTACATTCATAAGGTCTTTTTCCAGTGTGAATTCTCTGATGACAATGGAGGCCAGAACAAGTGATAAAAGATTTCCCACATTCACTACATTCATAAGACCTTTTTTCACTATGTACTCTCTGGTGTTGAGTGAGGTAAGATGGATGGCTAAAAGATTTCCAACATTCACTGCACTCATGAGGCCTTTTTCCTGTGTGTACTCTCTGGTGTAGAATGAGTATTGAGCTGTTGGTAAAAGATTTCCCACATTTTCTGCACTGAAAAGGCCTTTCTCCCATATGTACTCTCTGATGGAGAATGAGTACTGAGCTGTTGCCAAAAGACTTCCCACAATCACTGCATCCATGAGCATTTTTTCCAGTGTGAACTCTCCAGTGTACAGTGAGGTAAAATTTTCGTCGAAAAGATTTCCCACACAGAGTGCACTCATAATGCCTTCTTTCTGTGTGAACTGTTCGTTGTCGAATAAGGACAGATCTAGGGTGAAAAGACTGCGCACATTCACAGCACAAGTAACAACTTTCTCCAGTGTGACTTCTCCAGGGATACATGAGGATAGATTTTTGGTTAAAGGATCGTCCACATTTGCTGCACTTGCACTGCCTTGCCCCAGAATGAATTCTTCGATGCTGACTGAAGGCTGAGGCTTGCCTAAAAGATTTGCTGCATTCTCCCCACACATGAAGCCTTCTTCCAGTGTCGATTCTCTGTTGCACAACAAATGAGGATCTGTACCTGAATGCTTTTCCACATTCATGGCACACAAAACACTGTCTTCCAGTGTGGACACCCTGGTCCTGACAAAGTGTGTGTTTGGGACTGAAGGGTTTCTTACATCTTCCCCAGATAAAACGATGTTTTCTGCCTTGTAAAGTGGCCCTGCACTGGGTGATTTTGTTTGGCTTCTCCCTGGTGTAAGTGGCATACTGGTGGAGACATCCAGGGGTGGCCAGGAAGTGGTTCTCCACTTCCTCATGGGTAAAGGGCCTCTGTGACATAAGGAATCCACAGCTCTTCACAAGCAAGGCCCTGTCCATACTGCTTCTGAAGGGCTTCTCTCTGATGTGCTGCTTCTGGTGTTTTTGGAGGTTTGCACTGAAATGAAATAGTTTTGTACACGCCTCACACCCGAACATCTTCTGACTCTGTTGTGTTCCTTGGTGCTCAGCCAAGTGCAAAATATCTCTCAAGACCAGACTATAAGAGTCACAACGGTGGATATTATGCAAAGTCAGACATGCCTTGAGAGTCCTGGACTGTGACACATCTACAGAAATGCTGTGTTCAAAGGGTGCCTCCGCATCCTCTGCTCTACTCCAGCAACCTGAATGCAAAGAAACCCTGGTGAAGTACATGTTGACTTTAAAGGCAGAAAAAAATCCCATCATCTAGGGTTTGCATCTATCACATCTAGGAAGGGGTCTATGGAATGCTTTTCTACACAAGGGAGTCAGAATCCAGTTGGGGAAGTGGCTACTGGGCATTACTGGGCCCCTAAGGCAAAAGAATGGTGCAGACCTCAACAGGAATGAACACAAGGATAAAGTGTGACACAAAGAAGAGAAGCATATTTTAAAACCTGTTCCACTGCAAAAGGTTTCCTGCAGGACCTTTACTACTGGTGATGTGAGGCTGTGTAAAAGCATGTGTCCAAACCCAGGAAAAAACAATTGCAATAGAGTAGTTGCTGTTCAAGGCCAATGTAAAAATGTGGCATATACAGACCACTGTTGCAGAGCAATAAAGGAAGAGCTATGAGAGAAATGGGTGAGGTATGAAGTACACAGAGGTTGAGATTCTCCCTGGGCTGGAAGTCAGAGTAGAAAGGATAAGTAGCAGAACCGACTAGATGACACAGTATCAACCATGGGGAAGGAAGAGTAGAAATGAGGTGTGGCACTGCAATGAAAAGAAAACACTGGTTAAATGGGAAACGTTCCTGGTATGATCTGAACACAGTCCTGGTCACACCTTTCCAAACTTCAACAGGTTGAGGTACCTATGAGTTCACCCTGGAGCCTTGGCTATTGAGAATCCCTACAATTTTGTCACCCCTGACCTCAGCTGATGGAGCTGCAGTGATTACATGGCTGGTCCCTCCCTGAAGCCAACACTGCCACACTCCACACAGCCAGTGACCTCGCAACCAACCCAAGGTGAGGGCCTTCCCCACCAAAACCAACCCCCAAAGCTTGGAAGAGGTCACTGATCCATCAAACAAGGAAACATCAAAAAAAGGCTACATGGAACATGAAAATCAAAGAAACACGATATCACCAAAGGAGCATAATAAGTTTCCAGGAAGTGAACCCAAAGAAATGCAGATCTAAGAAACTGCTGGACAAAAAATTCAAAATAATTGTTTTAAGGAAGCTAAGCCAGATCCAAGAAAACACATAGACAACTCAGTGAAATCAGGAAAACATATATGAACAAATCAAGAAGTTCAGATTTAGAAATTATTAAAAAAAAGAATCAAACAGAAATTCTGGAATAGTAAAACAGAATGAACAAAATGAAGTATGGAACAGTGAGCATCAATAACCAACTTGATCAGGTAGACGAAAAATGTGTGATCTTGAATCAGGTCATTTCAAATCATCCAGTCAGAGGAGAAAAACAACTGAAGATCACGTAAATTATGGGATGCCAACAAGGAAAATAATATGTGCATTACGGGAGTGCCACAGGAACACGTGAGGGAGAAAACAGCAGAGAGCTTATTTAAAGAAATAACGGCTGGGCCGGCCCCGTGGCTTAGCAGTTAAGTGCGCATGCTCTGCTACTGGCAGCCTGGGTTCAGATCCCAGGCACGCACCGACACACCGCTTCTCCGGCCATGCTGAGGCCGCGTCCCACATACAGCAACTAGAAGGATGTGCAACTATGACACACAACTATTTACTGAGGCTTTGGGGGAAAAAAAGGAGGAGGATTGGCAATAGATGTTAGCTCAGAGCTGGTCTTCCTCAGCAAAAAAAAGAGGAGGATTAGCACGGATGTTAGCTCAGGGCTGATCTTCCTCACCAAAAAAATAAAAAAATTAAAAAAATAAAGAAATAATGGCTGAAAACTTCCGAAATCAGGAGAGGGATGAGGACATTCAGGTACATGATGCTCATAAGTCCCCACACAGATTCAATCCAAAGAGATCCTTACAGAGACACATTATAATAAAACTTTCAAAAATCAAGGACAAAGACGATTTTGAAAGCAGAAAGAGAAAAGAAATTCACCACATACACAGAAACCTCCATAAGGATGTAAGCAGATTTCTCACCACAAACCAGGCTGACTAGGAGACAGTGAAACGAGAAATTGAAAATGCTGAAGGAAAAAAACTGCCAAAAGAGAATGCTTTATCCATCAAAGCTGTCTTCAAAAATGGAGGAGACATAAAGACTTCCCTAGGCAAACAAAAGCTGAGGGAGTTCATCACCCCTCAACGTGCCTTACCAGAAATGCTAAAAGGAGTTCTTCAAGCTGAAATGAAAAGATGCTAATTACTAACATGAAAACATATGAAAATACAAAGCACACTGCTAAAGGCAAGTATGTAGTCAAATTCAGAATACACCAATACTGTAGTAGGGTGGTGTGTAAATCATCTAACTCTAGGATAAAGGATAAAAGATAAAAACACTAAAAATAACCATAGCCACAATAATTTCTCAATGGTAACATAATATAAAAACAAATAAACTGTGACATCAGTAAGATAAAATGCAGCGGCGTGCGAAACTAAAAGGGTACTTTTTTGTGATTAAGTTCCTATCAGCTTAAAACAGACTGTTTTAAGATGTTTTATGAAAACCTCAAGGTAACTACAAAGCAAAAACCTACAATAGATAAAGTGAAAGGAATCAGAGCATACCACTAGGGAAAATCATCACATCACAAAGGAAGACAGGAGGAAAGGAAAAAGAGACTAGAAAAGAGTCAGAAAACAATTAACAACATGGCAATCCACAAGTCCTTACAAAATTCCCCAGTCAAAGACACACAGTGGCTGAACAGATAAACAAAACAAGACCCAATTAAATGTTGCCTGTAGAAGGCGCACTTTAGCTCTAAGGAATCAAATCAGCTAAAACTGAAGGAATCTAAAAAACTATTCCATGCAAATGGAAATCAAAAGAGAGTAGCTTATATTTATAGGTAGCTATACTTATACCAGGCAAAATAAACTTGAACTCAACACCTGTCACAGGAGACAAAGAAAGTCATTACATAGTGATAAAGAAGTCAATTCATCTGAGGACACAACAATTATAAGCATACGTGTACACAACATCAGAGCAGCTAAATATATTAAGCAAGTATTGACATACTGGAAGGTAAAAAAGACAACAATAAAATACTAATAGCCAACTTCAATACGCATCTTTTAAGAATGGGTAGAGCATCCAGATAGAAAATCAATAAGGAAATATTTCACTTGAACTACACTTCAAACCAAACTGACCTAACAAACATATACAGAACATTCCATCCAACTACAGCAGAACACACATTCTTCTCAAGTTGACACAGAAAATGCTCTAGGACAGATCATACGTTAGGTGACAAAACAAGTCTTACCAGATTTAATAAGACTGAAACCATATCAAGAATCTTATTCGACTACAAAGATGTGAAACTAGAAATCAGCAACAAAATGAAAGCTAGATAGTTCACAAACATGTGGACATTAAAACACACTCCTGAACCATCAGTGGGTCAAAGAAAAAAAATCAAAATAAAAAATAAAACTATCTTAAGATAAATGAAAAGGGAAACACAACATGCCAAAATTTATCAAAAGCAGTTCTGAGAGTCAAGTTTACAGCAATCAATGCCTACATTAAGGAAAAAAAAAAAAATCTCAAAGAACCTAACTTTACACCACAAGGAATGAGAAAAAGAACAACAAATTAAGCCCAAAGTTAGGAGAAGGAAGGAAAAGAACAAAGATCAGAGCAGAAATAAATGAAATATAGACTAGAAAAACAATAGAATAGATCAACAAAGCTAAGAGTTAGTTTTTGAAAAGAAACAAAGTCAACAAACTTTTAGCTAGACTAACTTAGAAAAGAGAGAAGACTCAAATAAATAAATAAAAACAGAACTGAAACAGGAAACATTAAAACTGATACTGCAGAAACACAAACAACTTAAGAGACTACTGTGAACTGGACTGACTAGAAGCAGTGGATAAATTCCTAGAAATATACAATCTATCGAGACTGAATTATAAAGGAACAGAAAATCTAAATAGACCAATAATGAGTAACAAAACTCAATCATTAATCAAAAATCTCCCAACAAAGAAAAGCCCAGGACCAGATAAATTCACTGGTCAATTCAACCAAAGATTTTACGGAGAATTAATGTCAATCCTTCCTCAGCTCTTCCAAAACACTGAAGAGGAAGAAAAATGTCCAAATTCAATTTACAAGGCCAGAATTACCCTGTTACCAAAGCAAGATAAGGAAACTACAAGAAAATTAAATTACAGGCTCATAACCTTAATGAACATAGAAGAAGAAATCCTCAACAAAATACCAGCAAACCAAATTCAACAGCATATTCAAAGAATCTGACACTATGATCAAATGCGATTTATCCCTGGGATGCAAGGATACTCCATCATATGCAAATCAATAAATGGGAAACACCATATTAACAGAATGAAGGATAAAAATCACATGATCATTCGACAGATGCAAAAAAAGCACTTAACAAAACTGAGCATACTTTCATGTTAAAAACTCTCAACAAATTAGGTATAGAAGAAATGTACCTCAACATAATAAAGGCCATATAGGATAAGCCCACACAACCATCATACTGAACAGTTGAAAGCTAAAAGATCTTCCTCTAAAAGTAGGAACAAGACAACAATGCCCACTCTCCTCACTTCTACTCAACACACTTCTGGAAGGCCTAGCCAGGACACTTAGGCAAGAAAAAGAAACAAAAGACATCAAAATCACAAAAAAGGAAGTAAAACTGTCTGTGTTTGCACAAAACACAATCATATAGATAGAAAACCCTGGACTCCACCAAAAAACTCTCACAACTAGGAAACAAATTCAGGAAAGTTGCAGGATACAAAATCAACATATAAAACTCAGTTGTGTTTCTATACACTCAGAGTGAAATACCTGAATAAGAAATTAAGAGAGCAATTGCATTGACAATATCATTAGAAACACAGAAATAAATTTAACCAATGAGGTGAAAGATCTAGAATCTGAAAACTGTAAGAAAAGAAAGTGAAGACACAAATAAATGGAAAGATATCCCATGTTCTTGGACTAGAAGAACTAATATTGTTAAAATGCCCATATTCCCCAATGTGATGTACAGAATCAATGCAAGTCCTATCAAAATTCCAATGGAATTTTTCACAGATATAACAAAGGAATCCGAAAATGCATATGGAACCACAAATGATCTGAAACCTCCAAAGCCATCTTGATCAAGAAGATCAAAGCTGGAGGTATCACATTTCTTGATTTCAAACTACATTAGGAAGCTATAGTAATCAAAACAGTGTGGTACTGGCATAAAAACACATACACAGATGAATGGAACAGAATAAAGAACCCAGAAAAAATTCTATCCATATACAGCGAACTAATCTTGACAGGGGCGCCAAGACCACACTACAGGGAAAGGATAGTCTCTTCAATAAAGGGTGTTGGGTAAACTGGATATTCATATGCAAAAAGATGAAGTTGGAGCCCTATCTTCCACCACTAACAACAATGAAGTCAAAATGGATTAAAGAGTTAAATATAAGACATGAAAATGTAAAACCTCTTGAAAAAACATAGAGAATAAGCTACTTGTAGTGGTCTTGGCAATGATTTTTTGGATATTACACCAAAAGTCCACGGAAAAAACATCAAAAATAAACAAGTGGAACTACATCAAACTAAAAAGCTTCTGCACAGCAAAGAAACAATCAACAAAATGAAAAGCAACCTACAGAACAGCACAAAATATTTGCAAGCCATGGATCTGATAAAAGCGTAATATTTTAAAAATATAAGGTACTCACACACCTCAACAGCAAAAGAACAATCTGATTAAAATATGGGCAAAGGATCTGATTAGACATTTTTCCAAATTTGATATACAAATGGTTAACAGATACAGGAAAAACTGCTCTTCCTCACTAATCATCAAGAAAATGTAAATCCAAACCACAATGAGATATTACATCATACCTTAGGATGGCTATTAACATAAAAAGAAGAGATAAGTGCTGCCAAGGATGTGGAGACAAGGGAGCCCTTGTACACTGTTGGTGGGAATGGAAATTGGTAGAGAGAGCAATTTTGAAAAAGAGTATGAAAGTTTCCGAAAAATTTCAAAACAGAACTACCATATGATTCAGCAATCCCATTTCCTGGTATATACCCAAAGGAAATGAAATCAGAACATGGAAGAGATAATCTGCCCTCTCATGTTCACTGCAGCATTGTGCACAATACAAGAGATATGGAAACAACCTCACAGTTCATAAATGAATAAACAGAGGAAAAAAAGTGTGGTGTGCGCATGCGCACACACACACACAAACACATACCTCAGATATTATACAGCCTTAAAAAAGAAGGAAATCCTGCCATATGTGACAATATGGATGAATCTGGAGGGCATTATGCTAAGTGAAATAAGCCAGTCAGAGAAAGACAAACACTCTGATATCATTTATATGTGAAATTTAAAACAGACAAAGAAAAAATGTTGAACTCACAGAAAGTAGAATGCTGAACAGGGGCTGGAGAGTGGGAAAATTGGGGAATCGTTGGTCAAAAGGTACAAACTTTCAGTTATAAGATGAATAAGTTCTGAGGATCTAATGTACAACATGGTGATTACACTTTATAATACTGTATTTTACACTTGAAATTTACTGGGAGAGTATATCTTAGGTTTTCTTACCAAAAAAAAAAAAAGGAACCATATGAAGTGACGGAAGTGTTATTTAACTTGATTACACAATTATTTCATAAGGAACAAATATATGAAATCATATTATATACCTTAAATATATACCATTTAATAGAATGACAATGCTGGAAGATAAAAAAAAGAAGAGAGATCGAAACTAAACAATACAAATCCTGTAAGAAGATCTTGAAAAATAGCCCATGATCCAGGTAAGTAGTGACCATGACAATGCCTACAATTCCACCCACAGGCAGGTCCTAGGAAATGTTAGCTAAAGGAAGGGAGCAAACCCTGTCACACACACAGAAGGGTCACGGAGCTGGAGCTGGACACGTTCACCTGGCAGGGGAGAGAGGGCAAGCAAGGTGCCATCCATTAGTCTCATTGCAAGACTACTGACCTGGAATCCTTCCCTATGAGGGTTCAGCACAGAGGGTATTGGGGCTGCAGGGAGAGAAGAGGGCAGTGCAAACGCCCCAGCCCTAGTAACACAGCAAGGACCCAGAAAGCTGCGGAGGCAAGCAGTGCCCACATTCCCGAGTGAGAAGGACAGATAGAGCACCCCCTAGGGAAAGGGGGGTGATGCAGGATACAGAGCCTAGTCCAGGTCACTGGGGAGGAAGAGGGCCTTACCCAGCGAGGATACGAGTGCAAAGTTCTCCAGCATCACTTCGAGGTACAAGTGCCTCTGAGCTTCATCAAGGAGCCTCCATTCCTCCCAGGAGAAGTACACAGCAACGTCTTCAAAGGTCATACTGTCCTGTCAAGATGGGGACAGATGAAACCATGAACTTTCTCTCTCTCAGAACCCACAGTCCACCACCTCACACATCTACTCCATACTTCTCCTCCAGAGCTCCCCACCTCAGAGCAGATACCAGGCCCTGCTGCCACTGATAACGTCTCTCTCCTCAGGATCCCATTCATCACTGTCTTCAGCCCGCAGCAATAACAGGCAGGGGGGCACATAGATGCCATCCAAGCTCTGGGCCTTGGCAGGCAGGGCCCCGAACCTCTTGCCTGGCAATTCCCCTGCATCTTCCAGATTGTACCTACAAGACACAGCTACATGTGGTCTCATGTTTCACCCCTGAGTCCCCACTACAAGAGCCTTGGGGCCCTCAGCTCACACTACCTATGTAAATGCAAATCATTCTCGCGAGACCACCTCTCTCACATCTTCAGTCCCCACAGCTCTGCCACCTCCCTGCCCTACAATACAGGCGTCTCCCTGCCCTCACCCGTGGACGTGGCACACGGCATCCAGAGGGTTCTGACAAACTCAAACACAATCCAGTACCTTCCCAGTTCTGATGGATCCCACAGCCAGGAAAACCCCGAATGCTGCTTTGAAGGCCTCCCCACCTGCCTCTGATCCTTGATCAAGATCAGCCACCCAGAATCACATGGGAATTTCAGATCCCCAGGACCCTCTTCCACTGTGATGCACTTTCTGTCCCCTCAGCAGCCACAATCCTCCTCTCTCCATTCAATCCTCCTTAAAACACCGGCCCTACAGTCTTCCTGCCAGGCATAGTGACTCTCACAAATGACTACATTCACCCCACATCTTACCCACCAGCAAGACTGAAACATCCCAGACCCCATCAAGGCTCACCACACAATTCCGGTGAATGTGAGCAGTAGTGAATAAGCAGGAGCCCCAGTCTCACTGTCAACTTGTCTCAATTACTCCTCTGCCTCTGAAGTCATCTCACACCCGCTCATCCCATGGAAGCCTTGGCCACCTGCCAGACCATCCTCTCTCCCACACCATTCCATGGCCACTTCCCTCCCTCACCTGTGTTTCTCATACTCAGGAACCTCCACCAGGAGCTAAGCCAGAGAACCACTCCTCGGCACGCACCCTAGTCTTTCTGACTGGCTATCAGCATTATTACTATATCCTAGGTTCCACTTCTTAAACGGGATCCACAGCTCCACCCTGGTCCACACAATAGCCACCACTTTTGAGAGTCTCCATCCTGAACCCCTCCCCAGGTCTGTGTCTCCAGCTGCCCACTTGATGCCTCCACTCACTGTTCTCTGAAACATCTCAGACTCTTAACAGGGCCAAAACAACACTTTTGCTATTTCTAAGGAAAATAAACTCACCAACACCTTCCACATCCCGCTTGATGGAGCTTCCATTCTTCAGGGACTACAACCAAAAATCCTGGAGTCATCCCAAACCTCTCTCTCAACTTTGTTATTATTAGTGGCACTGAGTGTATTCAGACTCCTAGTTACCTTGTGTACAGTACAGCAGAACACTGCCCAGTCTTTTTTGCACCATCCTTTCATTTTCCAGCGCTATATCAGACAATGCTCCACTGCTATTCATAGCGTTTTCATGCCCAATTTTTTGGAAATGGGTGGCCAGGTCCTTCTTCCTAGTTTATCGTAATCTGGAAGCTCTCCAGAAACCTGTCCACTATGGGTGACCCTGTTGGTATTTGAAATACTGGTGGCATAGCTTTCAGCATCACAGCAACACACAGCCGCCACAGTATGACATCTGACAGAAACGTGGTGTGGCTCCCTGTCCAGAAAACAAACCCACACTGTGGCAGTGAGAGGGCCGAATCTTAAGCCCTGGACCACCGCATCCTGGGATAACCTTCCACACCTGTTTATCCTGGTGACCAGAAATGGAAACACCTTTAAGACCCTTAGCCTGCCCTCAGGACACAAAGTTCGGGGTTCCCTCAGGCTCCCCACACCCAAGAGCTGTGAATACAGCAAATGAAGACTCTCAAGACACCACCATCCCAGACACCACACGGGCCATGTCATAACCACTGAGGGAGTGGGGCATTCTCTCCTTCCTTCTGTAGGTTCCCTAAACGCTTTTTCTGGTATTAGAACCTGAGGGAAGGGAAAGGAAACCAAGGCTGGTTTCCACGGGAGCAGGCCTCCCCTGTATCCCTGCCCAGCCCTGGAATCCAGTGACCTCGGGTTCAATTACTAACCTCTGTTTCAGTCCTCGGAGGAGCCTCTCATCACCTCTGCGAGCTTGGACGAGGACTCAACTCCCTGTGCCTCACTGTCCTCATCACCCCCTTTCCGCTCTGTTCTCTCCCTCTGAGCAGCTTTTGCAAACTTTTTAAACCCTCACACACGCTGTGTCCCTCTTTCGTTCACAACCCTCCACGGCTCCCTGGGCCCTCGGATTGAAGGAACAGCCCCTCAGCCTCCAGGCCAGGCGACACTCCTCCTCACCCTCTTTTCACTGCAGACAGAACACGGACCCCAGGTCCCCGACTCCTCCCGGCTCAGTCGCCCTCCACGCCTCTCCCGCGCGGGCCCTCCCCTGGGACCCTCTCCCACACCCGTCACCCCGGCTCTCAGAAACAGGCCCCACGAGCGCCTCCCCGTCCCGGACACCGGGGCCTGGGCTGCAGGCCCGTGAGCGGCGCCCGCACTCGGGGCTCTAGGGCTGGGCTGGGCTGAAGGCGGGGAGGGCGCGGAGCACGAGCACTGACCTGAGCCGGCTCCCTCCGCGCGGCCGCCGCCATCGGACTCCGAGGGCGGAGCGGGGCCGGGAGCGGCGGGAGACCCGCACACGGCGGTCCCTGTCCCGGGTCCCCCGGGCGGCGTCGCCGAGCCTCAGACCCGCCCTGTGCAGCGGGGACGGCGCTTCCTCGGTCCCGTCACCTTAGCGCCGACTCTACCCTCCAGAGCCCTAACAAACCCAAAGCAGCCGAAATGGCCTCCTCGAGGACGCCGGAAGTGCCGCCCCGACTCGTTGAATTCGCACGGAAATGCTTTCACCCTATCTTTCATTGGCTCATCTCGGCGCAGGTTCTTCCGGGTAATGTAGTTCTCAAAGCTCTAGAAGCTGCAGGGAAGAGTGTTCTCCATCCCGACCCACCAGAGCACTAGCCAAGCGAACCCTGAGGAACGCTGTAAATTGGTGCCCCCACCCGGAGAGGGGAGCTTTGCTCCTTGTTAAAGGCAATGAATACATGTAATTTCAGAGTCAGTGAAGCTCCGCGTGCTCCCCCAGGATAAAAGTTATCTGAGATGCTCCCAAATCTACTGATCTACACGGTCATTCAATACAGTTTGACATGAGTCCACGCGTAGCTGGGTACATTGTTATTGCTCTTCAAATGCACGAAGCCTGAGGCACTAGTCAGTTTTGTGAGTTCTATTAAGATGGGCTAGGAACAAGAGAAGAGACTCCATACAGGGCCATGACTGGGAAGAGAGAAGAGGGATATTCTGAATTAGGTGAACAAGCAAGAGTTCTGCTTCTGATTCCCATAGAAAACCTCTCTGTTGCCTGTAGAGTCAGTGATTGTGACCTACCCACTGAGGAACATTTTTATCTATATAACATTTCTTACTCCATATCCTACAATATGCTCAATTCCTTTTAGTGAATATCTATCTCAAATGGAGAGCTCCTTAACTAATACTGTTTTGGTATGTGTCATGGGTTGCACTCTCATAGTCACAGCACATATGCCAAGGGAGTATCTGAACACGGAGATGAAGGGCGCATCGTAAGCCCATGATCTCATGTCCTTGCTGCTAAGTGATTGTCATGTTCCAGAGCTTCCAGGTACAGTTCTTCCTGAGGAACTGAGATTATCTGAGAAAAGCAGCTTTGAAATGCAAGTTTCCAAAAGTTACTCATAATGTTTAAGTCGTTATTCAAAGATAGAGGCAGAAATAGCTCTGGGTAAATATCAGAGGATGTTGAAGAAAACTACCACTTCAGAGAAGTTTTGGTAGTGCTTTTATTCTTGAAAACATTAAGCAATACCAGCCTGGAGAAAGAACTGAAATGGACATTGAGAATAGCCAAATTAGTAAAAATGAACAAGAATTTGAGGTGTCAATGTTTATTCATGGCTGTTAACAAATGTTCATTGAGCAAATACTCAGTATTAGACACTGTTGTTGGAGGTGCCTGAGAGACCTGACAAAGACCCCTGCACTCATGCAGCTTACATTCCTCTATGAACACAGACAGGAAACTGGAAAGAAAAAGTGCACAATTATAGAGTGGGTTATTGGGACAGAAAAAAGTCCAAAAACTCACCTAAGCACCACCTAAGTCAGATGTGAGTGACACACAAGATACAATTCATCCTGAGGCAAAATTCCTCTCCACCTATGAACCTGAGAACCCCAAATCAGGTGTTTCCAGAATACAATGGTGGGACAGGCATGGCATAGACATTTCCATTCCAAAAGGGGGAAATGGGAAATAAAGGAGTGACGGGTCTTGGGCTCCGTGCTCAGCCTTCCAGAGCCACTGGGGAAGCGGTTCTATCCCTGCTGCTGTGCTGGATGAGATTCCTGCCCCCAGGGATCTGCCTGGTGGGAATCCCATTCCCAGGGCTCTGGTTGATTCTACACCGGCCAAGACATTGGGGGGCCGGGGGGGAGAAGTAGATTGGTTTTGTGTCAGTTTTTAAATAGGGCCACCTGGATTTTTTTTTTTTTTGTGAGGAAGATCAGCCCTGAGCTAACATCCGTGCTAATCCTTTCTTTTTGCTGAGGAAGACCGGCTCTGAGCTAACATCCATTGCCAATCCTCCTCCTTTTTCTCCCCAAAGCCCCAATAGATAGTTGTATGTCATAGTTGCACATCCTTCTAGTTGCTGTATGTGGGACGAGGCCTCAGCATGGGCGGGGAAGCGGTGCGTCGGTGCGTGCCCGGTATCCGAACCCGGGCCGCCAGTAGCGGAGCGCACGCACTTAACCGCTAAGCCACGGGGCCGGCCCATGGATTTTCTGATTGTGACGGTGAGACAGAGAAAGGTAGGAGTCAGGGACGACTCTAAGTTTTTTGGTGTTAGCAGCTGGGAGGACAGACGCTCTATCAACTGAGATGAGTATTCCACAGTGGGAGTAATTTTCAATAGGGATATCAGCAGTTTTCTTTTTGGCCAAGTTGAGGGTATGAGATATTTCAGAGCCCAAGGGAGTGGAGTTACCTAGTTGGCAGCTGCACACACAGGTCAGGAACTATGGGAAGCGCTTCCGGATGGACACATCTACAAAAGGTGGTGAAGGGTGTGTGGACAAGAGGAAGCTTCTAGTGACATTTGTAGGAGAAATCCTAGACATGATGGTAATGCTAATAGCAAATCAGGAAGGGGAGGGTGAGAGCTACAAGTGCATGTCTAGGCTGGATACCTGGGTGGGGGTGGGGGAACATCACAAGCACAGGTGTGGGACAGAGAATGATCTGCCAGGTGACCACGGCTTCTGAGGAATGAGTGCACATGAACAGATGTGGAGGCACAGGTGTAACTGTGGTAAGATGACACTGAGGCCTGCTGTTTATTCCCTGCTCTACAGACTCACCAGGATTTTGTTGTGACTCTTTGTGGGGTCTAGGCTGTTTCACTCAGGCTGGCACATTAGCTTAGGGGCATGGTGGCACTCTAGTAGAGCAACTGGGCCTGAGGTAGAGAGCCAGTGGGGCCGAGCTTCAAATGAGTTAGGTGGACAGAGAAAAGCTGTGACTGGTTTTCGATGAATGAGTGCAACACAAGTGGAAGAGAGCTGTGCAAATCTGAGATTGCAGGCAGTTCACGGTGCTTGAGGATGAAACGAGGAACAAACTCAGGAAGGAGGCCTTCATGGCAAGAGTCAAGGCTGCAGTGGGGACCATCAGAGTATGAGATAGTACCAGCTCCTATTTGAACCTGCCAAGCACTCTCTGGACGCCTGGTGCTCAGTATATGTGGTGAGCCAAGGAGATACCTATGTGATTGAGGAGAGGGGGATGAACCGATGGCCCCAGGTTCCTGGCACTAAGGACGTATGGGTAAAGGGAGAGCCCAGATTTGGTTGTGTCTGGGAAGCAGCATCTGGGGAACCCAGGGGAACTGCCTGGTAAGAGGGTGTACGACCCCACATGCCAGGCCCAAAGACAAGATATTGTTTATCTGCCCACTTTCTTGGTCTTGCCGTGTGCTGCGATGGTGATCAATGTGGCCATGAGTTGAAAGCGGGCACCAGGGCCTGTTATCTTCTCTGAGGTGGGGAGAAAGGGAATAGGGAAACAAAGGAATGGATGTGGGGAGGATCAACATACAGTTTAGGAGAGAAGCTAATCATAGAATGAACCATCTCCATTATGGGAGTATGACCTTTGGAAGATGTGGCCACTCACTTCTTCCAGCAGTGGGCGCTCCTGGATGATGCTCAGAGGCTCATGTACTGCAACGTGATGCTAGAGAACTGTGCACTAACTGTTTCCATGGGTAAGACCCTCACATCCCTCTTAGTGTCCTGAGTGGGTCTCTGTCTTCCCTCCCTTCCCAAAGTCATCTCTGTCACCGCACAGCTGGACCATGGGCTCTACTAATACCCACACTTTCTTGGCATTTGTGCTGTGCGTGCCAGCACACAGAGCTGTGTGCACTGCCCTCAGCAACTCTCTCCCACAGCAGCTCTAACACTTGCTGCTTCAAAGGAGGAAAGGAAGTGTCAGGGAATAGGGAACCTTGCACTCAGCCTAATGGATCTCACCTGGTTTGCCTTCCCCTTGGCAGGGAGACAGGGGGATACCTCCGTGTTTCACATTCTGCCCCCCTCCTCTGGGTGACATTTCCTGGTGCTGCCTGTGCTAAGAACTGTGGGTATCGTCACAGATCAGGATTTACATGAACCAGGTGCTGTTCTTCTAAGAACCTCTTTTGAAGGTTTTGTAGTATTATCTTGTTTTCCCCATTTTTCTGTTGTGTGCTGAGTTGTTCTGAGCCACAAACCAGTCCTTTCATCAGCTGGCATCTCCCTTTTCCTCCAGCTTTATGACAGACGAATGTCTTTCTCAAGAAGCTGGGAGCCATCTCTTTAAAATGGAAACATCCTGGGCTGGTCCAGTGGCATAGTGGTTGAGCTTGTGCACTGTGCTTCAGCAGCCCGGCTTCATGGATTCTGATCCTTGGCACAGACCTACCTCAGCCATGCCGTGGTGGCAACCCACATACAAAATAGAGGAAGACTGGCACAGATATTAGCTCAGGGCCAATCTTCCTCAGCATGCATGCATGTATGCATAAATAAATAAATAAATTAAATAAATAAATAAAAATAAGAAATAAAATGGAAACATCCTGAGAGCTGTTTTTTGAAATGCAAACATCATGAGAGAGCTCTCCAATCTCCCAGTTCCAGTGAAAGGGAAGGAGGCTACTCTCAGTTCTCCCCCTGCTCCAATTTGGAAAGCAACCTCCTGTCACAAAGATGTTCACCTTTCCTCTGAATAAAGCCAAAAAGCTACCACAGTCACCGCAATTACCAGGTAACATTAGAAGGAACTCTGTGTGACAAATGGTGCTGTCAAGTCCTATTACTTGAGGACTTGTTATTGTTTATCTTGAATATTTGTAGGTAATGGGGTCTATCTCCTTGTCTATACTCAGAGGTGAGATTTTTTCTGTCTCTGTAATTTCTTAGCAGATTGCCTGTGATGTACATCAAACTCTGGTTTTATGCTTATTTAATAATAAAACTGTTTTGTCTCTACTACTGTTGTGGAGAGGATTTCTGGATTGGGAAAAGAGTTTGTTTT